TCGAGACGAGAAAACTGATGGCGAATCCCACGACTTCCGCCTTAATTCCGGCAGAAACGATGTTTTGGAAGATCGGTGGCAATGCAATTTCCGTGTCTGGCGGATGGAACTTGCGCGTGTATCGCCCTGTCCCCTATTATTTCATTAGCTAGACTGGCCTGCAACTGGACCATCTGGCTTCGGAAGGAGACGCGTAATCGAATTATCTGCATGATAGATTGCAACGGGCAGCCGGTAATTCTTCTTTCGATCCCCAGGACCTGCCATTTTCTAGTTTCTAGTTGAGGCCATTAATCGCTCGTCGCTGTCGAGTGAAGGAACGGGTTTCGCGGAGAGATAACCGGCGTTTGTTGCTTCTCCACGCTTTATTTTTTGCATCGATTTGCTTTTCGAGTTTCGGCCAAAGGAATTTTAATTACGCGGCTAATTAAAGACAACCGTCCGATAATCGGGTTAATCGGGGAGAGGGGAGAGAAAAAAAGGAAGGAATGGCTAACGAGCGATTACGGGGGAAGGATGAAAACCGCTTTTATAATTAGGTATCGAAGACACGCCCTTTTGTGCGGTCGGCCAAGACGAGGCAGAAACGAGAAATTCGCGTTCGGATCGAGGATGGAATTTGTGAACCCCTCCTTCCCCCTTTGGAAAGGGGAAAATAGTCTACGTTCACGTTGTCCACAATGGACGGCGGCGATGAAATGTAATTTAAATCGGCGCACGATCCGAGGAATCGTCGAAATTCGGAGGACACAAAACTGTCACGAGCGATCGGCCAACGCGTGACGAGTTAACGAGAATTCGATTTTATCACCGCTCTTTTGCAACGATGGAACCTCGAGCGAAGAGTTTTCATTCGTGGCCTTTTGTTGTAAAATTCACTTATTAAAAAGAAGAGGGAGAAGGAAAAAGAGAAAGAAAGAAGGAAGAAAAGAAATTTTCAAACTTTCTCCGTCGGTTCGCTTTGAAATTCGAAAGTCCTTCTCACGGAGACTGTTCCGTGTAATTTTTCAGATCTGGATCCGTTAAAGCTGCGCGGAATTCAATAAATCGAACGTCCCTCTCCTTGCCCTTGTCATTCGAATCGAAATTTTGATTTCTCCTCGGAATCTGGGCAAAAAAAAAAAAAGAAAAAATTTAATTCGTTCCTATTTCGAGCTCTATCGCGAGAATATTCGCGAAAATTACGAGCACCCATTTCTCTTTGCCCGAGAATATGAAATTTATAGCGGTCGCGTGTAGCAAGCTTGATTTTAGCGAAAGATTGTGATCGATCCGCGCCCCCGAGCTATGTTTTTCTCGTTTTGACGGCAATTTGCAACGAGTAGTCTGATCCCAGGTTTATCGTCGTGACGTGTATGCATTATGTCGATATTCTACGTCGAAAAGAGAGAGCCTTTTATCGTCACCGAGTAACACGGAGCTTCGTATTCTTTAAATAGAGTTAACCGCCTTCGTAACTTCCTTTCTGCCGCTCGAAATACACTCCACCATTTTCTGCCATGCTCCTTTCATAAATCAATTCGATTCAAAGTTAAGCTCTTTCATTGCGGTTATTAAATCCACACTTCAATTACATCGTAATTGACAAACTTTCTCGCCGACTTATCCATTTTTGTTTTTTTCTTTTAATTTCTTTACAAGATTATAAATCAAGAGAAAGTTAAAGTTTATCCTCTCTTCCCAGAGAATGATCAATTGGGGATCAAAATGAAAATCGATTCGAATCGGGCAAATTATCTAATAGTTTTACGAGATCGTGTCGAAATCTGATCGACCTCCGGTTGATACGGACCGCATCAATTACTCCCATCAATTACTGGGTGTTGATATTGCCGGCAATATATCGTCGTATGGAGGAGGTGAACGTCAAGCCGGCCATCAAGGCGTGACACGATTACCGAGAACAGCGCGAAAACACGTTTGTGGTTGTGCTTCTAAGCCGCACGACCGATAAACTTCGCACGATGATACGGTTGCGGTACGTGTCTGCAAGTTTATAGCCACGAAACTACGAATACCTGACATTTCGCGATCGTTACCGTTCGGATTCGTGCGCATTTTTCGCTCCACTTCCACCTGGACCAATTCCGTCTTAGTTCTCTAGCCTAGCAGTCGAATCGAACCGAACTATTTGCTCTCCCGTCGTCGGCCAAATCCGATGGCGGGTTTCGACCACGCGTTTCGTTGGCGAACGAATCGAGAGATTTGTAAAAAGCCAATAGAGAGATGGCCTCTGCTCGGTTAGGAAACATAATTTCTCAGCTTTCTCTCTCGCTCGATTCAATATCCCATTCTTCGTCCCATTGTTTTCCCCGTGTCGTGAACCGTGTCCATCGTTACGTGTGCCACCTGTGGCTAGCCCGATCCGTCGTCCATTGGAAAACGATTTAAATCACGATTCTTTTTTCTCCTCTCTTTCTTTCCTTCTTTCTTTTTTTTTTTACCCTTCTCTCACAATTGCGAACCAGCTTTCGCAACTCGTAAGGATTTCCCTTTTTTTTCTATTTTCTTTTTCCTTCCTTCCTCCAGTTCTTCCTCGAAGAACAGTACAAAAATCTCCTCTCCGAAAAAATTTCGTTAGAAGTTTCGTTAGCTCGAGAGAGACTGGAGAATTCGTGCTAGTCGTTTCCCCTCCTTAGAATTCATTCTTTCTAAAATTTGCACAGCGCGTTAACGAAAAAATGCGTAAATTATGGTGTTTGACGAGGTAGGGGACGAAAATTGTTCGCAGACGAGACAGAGCAGCGGGACGGTAGGGAACAGCGAGGGGCAAGAAGGGACGACGACGAGCAGCTGTTCCCCGAGGACGTCGACGGCCACGATAACGATGACGATGACGACCACGCCGACAACACCGTCGTCCACGTCCACGTCCACGATGACTGTCACGTCGATGGCCGCGCCATTCGTGCCCGCGGAATCAGAGGCGTCGATATCGTCCACCGCGACAGAGCAGAGGGAGCAGCAATGCCGGTGGCAGTGGCAACAGGCCCAACAACCCCGTACGACCACCACGCCGGCTACGTCGTCCACCACGTCGCACCTCACCACGGCCTCCTCGTCCACGGAGGCCAACAAATTGTCGACCAACGTCCTCTTCTCCTTACCTGCGTCGCCGAAAAAATCCGCCTCCGAGTCGTCCACCAAGATACCGAGCAATATATCCAAATCTCAAATGAAAGGTGAGTGAGATTAGTACGTTAATCGGATGTTGCTCTCATAAACGTTTATTAATAATCGTATAAGATCAGATTTTTTTTTTTTTTAATTAAAATCAATCTAATTATTTGATGGATTTTTTTCTTTTCTTTTTTTTTTTTTTTTTTGAAGGAAATGAAAGAGATTCG